ATCATCATGCTGTCACTTCTAACAAGATGTTAGTTAAAAGTTACCTCTTCTTGGAAGTAGTAATGCTAAGCTAAGAAGGGTACGCTGATCTAAATCCATGCTTGTGTCATTTGGATGAGCTAAAAAGATGAAGGAGAGCACATACAAGGAATAAGGTTTGACGTCTTACTCAGCATCTAATATTTAGAACAAAAAATACTCTTTTATCATGGTTAAATAATAAATTAAGATAAGAATGTATATTAACTAATTATAATTTAATAATATTTATGTTTTGAAGACATATATTACGTATTTTATTGTGTGAATATGTGGCCCAAATTAATTTTACCATCTTACCACTTTAACCTCTTTTTTTCATGGAGCAAATGGTGGGCAAAAGCAGGAAAAAATGCCATAAAAAAACATGGAAAGGGCAACGTACCGAAAAGGGAAACAGGAAAAGGGCAAGTAATGCTTATATTTCATTATCTTTATAGGAGCACTGCTTACTACAGTACAAAACTTTTTTCATTAAACGAAGAGAAGGGTGATCCCCATTTCTACTGTGAACGTGAAAGGGTTAAAGGGCCCCGAATTGAATCCACCAGCTATGCTAAACACACAAGTATACAGCAAAAGTTGTATCACATTACAACAACAATAGCGATCTAGTAAAATTTCACAAGTGGGATTTGAAGAGATAGCGATCTAGTAAAATTTCACAAGTGGGATTTGAAGAGAGTAGTAAGTATGTCGTTCTTATACCAACCCCTACCCCCACAAAAGCTGTATCACATTCTTTATGGAAATTTGTCTAGTTCATGTTTCTTGAACAAGATTTTATTTATTCGCCAAACGTTTAACAAATACAACATCGAGAACAATAACCAAATGCAAAAATTTATGTGAAAAAAAATAAAGTTAATTTTTTGGAATAATATAGAATTCTCTAGAATGTCCTAGTTTAGTATCCTTGATATTTATCTAGTGGACATATCTAGATGTTCTAGAATGTTGTGGTAAGATAAGACATATCTAGATATTCTAGAGTGTTGTTAGAAAATAAGGTTGCTAGAATCTTCTTTGTACATTATCTAGAATTATATCTAGAATCATCCATAAGCTAGTATAAATATGGGGTATCTTGTTCATTTGTAAGCAAGCCAAAAATCAAGAAAGTCTTCTTCAATAACAAAGTTCTCTTTTCAAGCTTCCTCTTCTTTAGTTGAATCATCCAATCTTAGTTAACGAATGGTTACCTAATTTTTGAAGGATATGATCGTAATTCAACTTTGAAGGTAGGAGTTTCCTACTTTTAGTATAATATGATGATTTTCATTGATAATTTTCTAGATTCACTTGGATTTATTTTGTGAAGCACAAGTCAGAAGTTTTCAGTAAGTTTGTGGAGTTCAAAGAAACTATTGAAGGTAAACTCGATTCTAGAATAAGGCGGCTACGAACTGATAATGGCGGTGAGTTTACATCAGATGAGTTTCTTTCCTTTTGTCGTCAGCATGGCATTAAAAGAGAGCTGACATGCGTTGATACGCCACAACAAAATGGAGTGGCTGAAAGAAAAATCTGACACTTAACTGAGACATGTAAGAGTTGGCTTCATACCAAGAATTTACCTAGAGCCTTGTGGGCTGAAGGTATGAAATGTGCAGTGTACGTGATTAACAGGATACTGCTTTCTCCAAATAATATGAAGTCTCCCTATGAATTAATGTTTGGAGAAAAGCCTAGCGTGAAACACCTCAGGGTTTTTGGCTCTATTTGTTATGTTCACATTTCGGATTCTCAAAGGAGCAAGTTAGATGCCAAGGCAAAGAAATGCATCTTTGTCGGATATGATGAAAGGAAAAAGGGGTGGAAGTGCATGGATCCTAAAACTCATCTCTTTGTTGTCTTAAGGGATGTCATATTCAACGAAGTGTCTTTGTATTATGGAGCTGCATTGGATGGAGCGAGTTCAAAAACCTTAAATAATGAAGATTCAAGTTTGTCCATTGCAGGTGCTTCTCTAGATAATACAACTGCCGAGGAGTTAAGAGAAAGGGGGAGTCCTGGACCTCAACAACATGAAACTCAATAAGAAAATGATTCAAGTGGTTCGGGAAGGCCAAAAAGAACTATTATCAAGCCAGCTCGCTTTAGAGATGAAAATTTTGTTAGTGCGTATTCCTGTTTCTTTGCAAGACCAATTGATGATGAAGAACCTTCCTCATTCGAAGAAGTTAAAGGAGTCAAAGAATGGAAGCTTGTTGTGGATGATGAAATGGAGGCTCTGATGAAAAATCAAACTTGGAGCCTTGTACCAAAGCCGAAAGATGTACAATCCATTTCTTGTAAATGGGTTTACAAAATCAAAAGAAGAGCCGATGGCAGCATAGATAGATATAAAGCAAGGCTAGTTGCTCGGGAATTTTCTCAAAAGTATGGAGAAGATTATGAAGAAACCTTCAGTCTGGTGGCTAAGATGATCTCTGTCCGAGTTGTGCTAGCCTTGGCAGCCTCGCATAATTGGAAGTTACGGAAACTTAACGTGAAGAATGCTTTCTTATATGGAGAGCTTGACAAAGATATTTATATGGAGCAACCACCCGGGTATGTCTCTAACTTACATCCTAATCATGTCTGCAAAATTAAGAAGGCCCTTTATGGCCTCAAGCAAGCTCTACGAGCATGGTATGAAAAAATTGCTCAGTATCTGCATTTCTGTAGCTATGATGCATCACAATCAGATCCTAGCTTATTTGTTAAAAAACAAGGAGATTTGCATATGGTTGTTCTTTTGTACGTGAATGATATGATAATAACAGGAAACAATGAAGATGAAGTTGCTAGGCTTCAAGATGAGCTTTCCATAAGATTTGACATCAAGAAGTTGGGAGAACTACACCATTTTCTTGGCTTAGAGGTGACAAACATGAACAAATGGATCTTTGTCACTCAAGAAGGATATGCCAAGAAACTTGTTGACAGGTTTGAATTGAAGCAAAGCAAAACATGTTCTACTCCTCTTGAGATAAGCACAAGGTTAAGGCGGGACGAAGGCTCACTTCTTGCAGATCCCAAGCCTTTTTGATTTCTTGTTGGAAGTCTCCTGTATTTGACTATTACAAGGCCGGACATTGCATTCTCGGTGGGATATGTCAGCAGATTTATGCAAAGGCCAAGAAAGCCTCACTTAGAAACTGCAAAGAGGATTCTAAAGTATATCAACTTAACATTAGACATGGGCTTGTTCTTCCAGAAGAAGAATAATTTGGTGTTAGCTGGTTATACGGATACTGATTTTGGTGGTGTTTGGATGACCGAAGATCAACATCGGGCTATATTTTCCTCTGTGGTGGAACAAGTGTTTCTTGGTGTAGCAAAAAGCAAGACTCAGTTTCCTTGTCAACCACAGAGGCAGAGTATAAAGCAGCTGCTCCCACTACTCAAGAATATGTATGGCTACAAAGACTTGTTGAAGACTTGCATCTACCTATAGCAAAGTCAACTGTGATCTATGGAGATAATCAAAGTGCCATCAAGCTTGTAAACAATCCAGTATTCTATGCAAGAACTAAACACATTGAGGTGGAACATCACTTTTTTCGGGAAAAGGTTCTTGATGGAACTATCAATACTTTGGAAGTGAGAAGTCAGGAGAATATCGTTGATATCTTCACCAAGTCACTTGCTAAAGCTTCGTTCGAGTTCTTCCGTGACAAGCTTGGAGTAGTTTCCAAAAAATCACTTTAAGGAGGAGTGTGAAAAAAACTAAAGTTAATTTTTTGGAATAATATAGAATTCTCTAGAATGTCCTAGTTTAGTATCCTTGATATTTATCTAGTAGACATATCTATATGTTCTAGAATGTTATGGGAAGATAAGACATATCTAGATATTCTAGAGTGTTGTTAGAAGATAAGGTTGCTAGAATCTTCTTTGTACATTCTCTAGAATCATCCATAGGCTAGTATAAATAGGGGGTATCTTGTTCATTTGTAAGCAAGCCAAAAATCAAGAAAGTCTTCTTCAATAACAAAGTTCTCTTTTCAAGCTTCCTCTTCTTTAGTTGAATCATCCAATCTTAGTTAACGATCTTGGGCTAGCAGAAGGTCTCTGAATAATACTCTTCTTCTGCTATTCTTTACAATTTGAAGTTCAATTCCATAATTGCCCTTGACTTTGTTTTAAATGGTTGACAATCGAAGAACTACAACATAACTAGTGTAATTCCACAAGTGGATATGGGGTAGACCGTGTGTATGCAAACCTTATTTTTACATTTTGAAGGTAGAGATGATATTTTCAATAGACCCTCGACTCAAGGAAAGCGTAATCGCAATAGTTATAACAAAGACATACAGAAAGAGAAGCAGTAACAACATCCAGGAAAATAATATAACCAAAGCAAAAGAAATAACAGATAGTAATATAAATCTAAGTGGGTGTTTGGACATAAGAATATGAAACTCCAAAAAAGGTGGGAAAAAAATTCAAGTGAAAATGGTATTTGAAATTAGAGTTGTGTTTGAACATGAATACAATTTGGAGTTGTTTTCGAACTTTTGTGAGTGAGTTGAAGTGAAAATTTTAAAAAATAATTTTTTGGAGTTTTACAGTTTTTCGAAAACTGAAATTCAACTTCAAGTGAAATTTAAAATTTTTATCGACAAACACTAATTCCAGAAAGAAAAAAAGTAAAAATTTCTTATGGTCAAACAAGCCCTAAGAATAGGAAATACGAGAATAACACTAATTACTATGTGCATGGAAAAGAAATACAAGTATGAAAAATAAATACTCTCAATTACTTGCTAATCTACTGTCCTAATCATCGACTTCCACGTTCTTTTATGAAGGATTACGTCCTCGGTGACAATCAAACATGTTAATTAAATTGCTAAGTTGCAATTCCTCGAGTACAGTAGTAGAAATTTAGGTTAGCAAAAGGTCAGATAGACCTTTATTTTAGTATTTTATTACAACATGGCCTTAAAAAGGGGACTGCATCTAAGCCACTTTCTTGATTAAAAATCTCAAGTTTCTTTTATCATTTACACATTTACTAATGGATCCAACAATTATTTAATAACCAAGTCAGGAATGTGAGACACAGAGAGAACTTGCAAAGGAGAGAAGAAAGACAAGTCGCTCCTCATCTCCTCTCTCTCTCCCCCTCCTTTCATGGCTATTGGGTTTTGGCTATATCACAGCCACCATTACCAACATCTATGAAATCCAAAACCCTAATAAACAGTAGTAATTCTTTAGTTTTATATTGTAAGTTACATTTTCCCAAAATCTGCAGCTTCCTTTGACTAAGCATTTAAGAACAAGAGACATAGCTTCCCCTGTCTTAAGAGTTCCTTTTACTCATCAACTATGCCTCCTATGATTAGCATTTTCTTATTCTGCTTCATTACTTCCTTTCCCCCTCTAATTAGTGCTACACTCAATCTTACCCAACCCTTCCCTGAATCTGTGGTTCAAGATGTACAGAGGTAAAAATGTGGGTTTTAATTAGCTCAGTACTGTATTTTATCTGCATTTATTCGGCAATATTTGATACAGATCTATCTGTTGTTAATTTTCTACACTTTCTATGTTTCTCAGGAGGGTAAATGAGTCTATTGTGAGAAGACAAATAGTTGAAACAACTGTTAGAGACAGTAGTAATAAATGTCTAACCGGAAATCCAATAGACGATTGCTGGCAATGCGACTCAAACTGGGCGAAAAACCGACAGAGGTTAGCCGACTGCGGCATTGGGTTCGGTCTAGGTGCAATGGGTGGAAAAAACGGTCAGATCTACGTAGTCACCGACTCCTCCGACAGAGACACCGTTAACCCTACTCCGGGCTCTCTCCGGCACGCCGTCGTTCAAGAGGAACCTCTCTGGATCGTGTTCGCCGCCGACATGGTTATTAAGCTAAAACACGAGCTTATTGTGAACAGTTACAAAACTATCGACGGCCGCGGCGCGAATGTTCACATTACCGGCGGCGGATGCATAACGTTACAGTACGTGAGCAATGTGATTATACACAATGTTCATATTTACAATTGTGTCCCTTCGGGTAATACTAATATACGGTCGAGTCCAACGCATGTTGGGTATAGAGGCAAATCTGACGGTGATGGTATATCCATCTTTGGATCTCGAAATATCTGGGTTGATCATTGTGCATTGTCTCATTGTACCGATGGCTTGATTGATGCTATCATGGGGTCCACTGCTATTACTATTTCGAATAGCTATTTTAGCCATCATGATGATGTTATGCTCTTGGGACATGATGATAAATACTTGCCAGATTCAGGAATGCAGGTTAGATATTTTAATTTTTTTTTTGTGTATAAAAATATGATTTTTTGGGGTTGTAAGTGTAATTTTGAAAACTTCAGGTGACGATAGCGTTTAATCATTTTGGAGAAGGGTTAGTGCAAAGAATGCCAAGGATTAGAAGAGGATATGTACATGTGGTGAACAACGATTTCACAGAATGGCAAATGTATGCAATCGGTGGTAGTGCAAGTCCTACTATTAATAGTCAGGGCAATCGCTATACTGCTCCTGATGACCCTAATTTGAAGGAGGTAAAATTTTCTTCTTCTTTCTTTATCTTTTATTTTGGATTAATTTTTCTATCTTCTTAAAAGCTTCGCTTCAATTTAGACAACGCATTTTACTTATTGAAAGTCAAATTTGTGAGATTTCACCAAATGTTTTAAATATTATTCTTATCATATTGAAGCAAAAATTGCAGACTTATAATATTTTTCGTATAGTTTTTGAGTATCTAAATTTTAATTTTAAAATATTAAGTTAAACTTATCGAATATAGATTCAAAGTTTAGTCAAATTAACCCTTGGTAAATGAAATTTGTTATTTAACTTCAAATGAAGTACTCATAATTAGTAATGTTATCTTTTCCACGAACTGAAAATTATGGCTTAATGATGTGTTGGAAATCTAGTAAACTTTTTTTTGACTTATGTCGCCACATTTGGTGCTCTTTGGATGACTTGCCAAGCCTGCGCGTGGTGAACACGCTACCACTGATTCACACTGTTTTCTAGCAAGATGGAGGAGCACGTTGAAAATAGTAATTTTTGTTACGTTTGACAAGTGTTGAAAATAGTACTCCGTTTATTTTTTCTTGTTCATTATATTAAGAATATATTCATTTTTATTTGTCCATTATACTAAATTAAGAAGATTTTTTTTTTCTGTTTTACACTTATTATTAAGTACTCATTTCCCAAATCATTTATCAAACACTTTTGAAAATGCCTATCGTTATTATGGGCAAAATCATAAAATACATATTTTTTAAAGGGGAATGCAAAGTCAAAAATAAACCACCAAAAGTGAACCTAGGGAGTACTAAGTATTTTTCATGGTTACATTTTTGTGGGACAACAATTAATAAGAACTTAGTGATAATTGTGGTTTTAGCATTTCAATTATCAGTCATCTAGTTTTGATTCGCATGATACTAAAAAAATTATTTAACCATCAACTGATAACTAACAAATTGTTANCCCAACCCTAACAAACACTTCTCCTCTATTACTACTTTCAACCCATTTACTATAAGTCAGAAATTAGTTATAATTACAATTTGAAAGACTTTTAGGTGTCCTTTGATACAAAGTATAAGGATAATAATCCCGAGATACAATTTGAGATTGTTCGTTTTCTTGAGCAGAGGGTCTTTCGGAAACAACTTCTCTACCCTTCGGAGTAAGGATAAGGTCTGCGTACACTCTACCCACCCCAGACCCCACTTGTGGGAACTCACTGGGTTATTGTTGTTACAATTTGAGATTGTATTTATCCCATATTTGATTATAGGTTTAACTAATTTCGAGATAAATTTTACATCAAAATGGTGGAGTTAGCTATCCCATTAGAATGTGGGATAGCTAATCCCATGGGATGTGATATCCTTATTTATCCCACCATTGTACCAAATAACCACTTAAGGGTCGGTTGGTTCGAACACGAGTTATGCCGGGGGTTAGTAATATAGGTGTTAGTTATACAAAAATTAATTAAGCAAGAATTGGTTATACAGTCATTGCAAGATTTAATTATATAGGGATTAGTTATGGAGAGGTTAATTATGGAAAGCTTAGTTAAGTAAGATTTAGTTACACGATAATTAGGTGTGTAGAGATTAGTTATACAGTCATTGCAGGATTTAATTATATAGGGATTAGTTATGTAGAGATTAATTATGGAAGGATTAGTTATGTAGAGATTAGTAATATAGATATGTAATTCCAGTATTATTTATTATTTGTCTAGTTTATTCTATTAAAATTATTAGTATAGTTTAAGTATCTTTTTTTAAACAAAAAGTAAGTTTGAATTGACCCCTCTCCCCCCTCTTTATCTGTTTTTTTTCTTTTTTAGTTTGCTTTCAGTTATTTAAAGTGGCCAGATGATCCATCAACCAAGTGTCAATAATGTAATTGGCTTTCATTCACCTTTTGTTGGTGAACTATACAATTTTTGTTAGTTGCCCACCTAAATTATCGCCTATTCCTGAAAATCTTCTGAATTATATTCCCCTTCAGAATAAAACCTCCTTGTCGCTTATGTGGTATAATGTGTGTAACAAATTACCCAAGAGCGCATGAAAGCTAAAAAATAGCCATTAAAATGGCCCATCTGACAGTGTCTAACGGGGAATTAGCTCTTCTTTTTTAAAATTTATATTTCTTTTTGTTTTCTCCTCTTTTTCTTTATATTTCACCTTCTTTCTTATCTTTCTCCTTTTCTCCATCCTTCATTTCTCACCTAAATTTGTTTGAAAGAAGAAACACCCTTTCAAGTATTTGTAGAGCATGATGTTTAATGTCTTTAAAGAAATTAGGGAACAAAGATATAGGACTTGCGTGTAGCTATCTTCTTTAACAATTTAGATATCTCCTTTCAATAATCTTCAGAATTTTGGTATGTCAAAATCCTTCCTATACCGATTTAGGAGCAGAAACCCTGATTTTTATCCCGATTTTCGAACAGAAGCAAGAATAGACGAACCATCGAGGTTAGAACCAAGATTAATAGAGAAAATCACTATTGAGAGATTAGAGTAGCCATTCTGTAATGAGAGCAAAGTCTCCGATGAGTTTTTTACCGTTAACCCACCAATTTTAACCCTAGCTCCCTTTTCTATTTTTATCATGTTATTTTTTACAATGATATAGTAAAGAGTATTAAAATCTTAATTAAGTTTGTTTTTTAGGTTAAGCTAAACAAATATCCATATAGATTACCACATGGCAGATTTTAAAAATAATTTGGAGAGTGTATTATACTCACTAGTAAGAAAGTGACGAGGGGTTTTATTATGAAGGGAATATGATTCAGGGAGTTTCTGGGGACATGTGATAGTTTTGGTAGGCAACTGATAAATGTTGTATAATTTAGGCGGATTATTGAAGAAATAACCTAAATAGCCGTTCATTCGATCAATTAAACTAAAAATAATCGGCGAATATATAACATATGTATAATCCCAAAATTCCAACCAAGAGGTTGCGAGTTCGAGTGACCCCAAGAGCAAGGTAAGAAGTTTTTGGAGGGAAGGATGTCAAGCGTCTATTGAAAATATCCTCTCTAACCCAGGTAGGGGTAAGATCTGCGTATATATTACCCTCTACAAATCTCATCAAATGAAATTATACTGGGTTGTTAGTAGTATAATCCCAAAAAATTTCTTACAAAGCTAGGTCTCATAGATCCACGTGATTATGTGGGGGTGTTTGGCAGTTAAAGCTAATGCACAGTTAAAGCTAATAAACAACCCCAGTAGACCAACCCAGCCTTGTAGTCTTGAGTTGTCTTTTCGGCCTTCGCGTTTCAGTTGTCATTGATTCTAGGAAAGTATAGGGAGTAGGAACCATGACATATTTGCAATTCAAGATGAATAGATTGTTTGGCAAGTTTTTTTTGGCCAATTTTTTTTTTTTTTTGCCAAACTTTTTTTTTTGGTTAAAAGTGTTTTTCTTTTGCCAAAAGCACTTTTGGCCAAAAATGGCCAAACTTTTGGAAGGAAAAAAATATATTTTTTAGAAGCAGAAACAGAAAAAAATAGCTTCTCTCCAAAAGCACTTTTTTGAAAAGCACTTTTAAGAAAAATACACCTAGAAATAGTTTTTTAAAGCTTGGTCAAACACTAATTGCTGTTCAGAAGTGTTTTTCAAGCTAATTAGCCAACAAACTGCTTCTCACCAAAAATACTTTTGAGAAAAACACTTTTGAAAAAAAACACTTCTCAAAATAAGCTGATTTTTGCAGCTTGATCAAACGGGCTAGAAGTCGGGGGGATCATGGTCCTTTTTATTAGCTTTGGTAATGATTTTGTTGGGGTTGTAATAAAAATTTGGCATTAATAGTTAAAAACGAAATTATATACAAGATCTAAATATTTTTAACGATGTATGAACTTTTGGAAAAAAACAGTGCAAACAATATACACTCTTCTTTGAGTTGTTTTAACTCAACAGACCAACTTAAATATAGCCTCTCAAAGACATTACTACACAAACCAGATAGACCAAAATTTCTTGAAAAATAAATGGGGAGTATTTGAATTGATAACTGTGGTAAAGAATTATTGGTATCTTAATTATCTTTCAAATAAATAATATTTTACTTAAAATAATTAATAAAATTTTCAATTATAAATTTTAATTTTTAACTAACTTATATGAGTATAATATGAATTATATGACTTATTGTAACTTTTTAATAACAAAAGGATATATATGATTATTTATGCTAGTGAACTTAAAACCAGAGCTGGTAATATAGAATTGTGTACAGCTAATAAAATAATTTTCACAGTAAATATATATACTAATGAACTTATGTGAATCTTGTGAGAGTGATAGGGAAGGATGGAGTCCAGCTACTTTTTAGCTGTGATTTCTAAATTTTGGCCTACTCCTTTCACAAAAGTATATGATTATGAATAGTGGTTAGTGATACTTTCGTGACAAATACTTTTTTTTTTAATTTAAAAATATATATGAGTATTATGAAATAGTCAAATGTTCAGACAGTAAGCTGCTCTGTAACCACGACCTGTGTTCATTTATAACTTGTTTGGCCAAACTTATTTTTGGCTAAAATCTTTTTTTTTGTCAAAAGTACTTTTGACCAAAAATTGAGGTATTTGGTCAAGCTTTTGGAAGGAAAAAAAAGTGTTTTTGAGGAGAATCAGACAAAAGTAATTTCTCTCCAAAAAGTACTTTTTTGAGAAGTATTTTTGAGAAAAATACTCTTAGAATCAATTTTTTAAAGCTTGGTCAAACACTAATTGCTGATCAGAAGTATTTTTCAAACTAATTAGCCAAACACAAACTGCTTTTCACCAAAAATATTTTTGAGAAAAACACTTTTAAAAAAAAAAAAATCTCAAAATAAGTTATTTTTGCAGCTTGGTCAAACAGACTATTACTCGTTAGAGAGTTGTAGTAGGGGCTAGGGCAAAAAGGTCATATAGCTGTTTAGCATGTGGGAGATGAAGTTATATTCTCTGGTTGTTGCTTTCCAGCCATGAATGTGGGCCCACTGCTATTTTAACGAAAAATTTCAGGGGCCCCTCTTCTGATATTAATAAATCAAGCTTGGACAACTTTATGTCAGGA